CAAACACACAAAAAAACAACTGTCAGACTAAGTGTTAGATTCGCAAATATCAGACATATTAAAATATTTAATATTTCCACCATCGGTATTGATGCTGATACTTGGAGCTGTCCTTCCCCTAGCACCTATATGTAGTACCTCGGATCAGACTTATGTCGTTTTCGTTTTTGCGGTGCACCGTGCGGTGTAGCACTGGTGTAGTGTAAGCTAAAGTATGGACGTCTGTCAAAAGTCGTTCCAATCGAACCGTCAAAATGCACCGCATTGCTCGATTGGAACAGCTTTTTTCAGTTTTGTGGTGACAGTCGTCCATACTTTTACTGTAGGGCTTTAGTGTAAGCAGGAATAAGCGCGAGTATTTAGGCCCATGGTGGGTATATAAATGGTGATACAGCTTTGTCACTATATAGGCGAGGAGGTCGCGGGGGGGAAAAGTGCGGTTTTAGAGCAAATTGTAAACAAACTCGGTCGCTGACCCATACAAAAATCCAACATGGCTGGATCATGAATTTGACACATTAGAACACATATAACTACATATTACATTGTAGTCACCTTGTTTAGGCCGGCGCACAATAGACGTTTTCAGGTTGTTTGACAGTTAGCCAGGACTGATAGCACCAAATATATCCAAAAATAGTGATTTTAGTGACTAAAATGAGTAAAAAAGGGACCATTAAGTGACTAAAATGGGTAAAAAAGTGACCATTAAGTGACTTTTAAGACACAAAAAGTGACCAAAAAAGGAGACCCAAGTAGCTTATTGAGCTCCAATTTAAAAATTTATAAGAAGATTTTAAGCATTTTGTCAATATTAGTAGTATTTGTTCTTGTATGATCGGTATCTGTTGTAAACAGACATGAGTGATTGATTTTTATACTAGCCTGCTGCTGGCTACTCTTTCATTTTGTTCAATTTTCAAGATAAATCCTTTTTTCAGTAAACCTGTTCCAATTCATAATTGTTGCCCAAAATGTGTGTTACATTTTAAACATTATGCTATGAAAATTCATTATAATTATCGTTAATAAAAACAATCGCTATTGTATGGTTTTTTGTGTGTTTTATAATACAACAACCTATATAATCCGTCTTCATCTGCAGGAAAACACATCTTAATTTCAGCTGTTCGATGGAACACAACGTACCAAGAAGACTGGCAATTCTACTAGCTTTCATGCGCATCCATATAGTATTTCATTTGAACAAATACCCTCAAGCTTTGAGCGTTGAATGGCCAGACTGTGACCCTCGGTTGGTATTGTATACAAGCACTTATATGTTGTCAGTTTTCTTACAGGCAGGGCTGCACATCAGTCCCATATGAGTTTTTGTCAGCTTTGAGTTCGCAATACTATTCGTTATCTAATGGCATCTCCTAATGCATTACGCCTTTTATTAAATTTGACCGCTTCGTTTAGTGCACTATTGGTATTATTGTAATTGGTCAGAAAAACTGGAGCGATTATCCGGTAAAATCCATTTCCTTTCACAACTCTTCAGTATCTATTTTATGAAAAATATTGATTAAATCAAACGGAAGATTACCAATTACGGAAACACAGCAAAATCTAACATATAGTCAGATGTTCCAAATTAAAACCCTAAAGCTTTCAGCATCCCATAGTGAACCACTTGTTTTAATTAACATTTTTTTCAAAAAAAAATGTAAAATGAATGTCTATTTCTGGGTTGAATTTAATGTGATTCAACCTTATCTTGTGCTTCTGTGCCGAGATTAGATTCTTTGATTAGTATGAATTTCTCCTTGTTTTCCAGTAAAAGTTTGTTATCATCCATCATCAGAACGTAAACAATCCTTCAGCGAACACTGAGTGGTCCACAAAAACGTAATGATGACTTCAACTTTGAATGCAGATTGCATGGAACTAATATATTTGACTAGTTAAAGTATCAGGTTAACGTTCACCTTATTAATAAACAGTTTAAAATCAACAATGAATATTACATGAATCTAGTGACAGCTAATAGAGGATCCAAAATAGGGAAATTAGTACTACTTCTTTCCGAAGTAGTTAGTTATAACAGTTGCTTTCTTCTTGTTGACTATTTCCTCCATGCTGTCAGCTGCTCGTTTTTGCGACGCTTGCTTTTTGCGCACTGACTCGACACCATCAAGCATGGCTTGAGCCAGCTCTATTTCAGCCATATCATTGTTTTTGTATAATTTTCTAAAAATTTAAGTTTGGACACACAATTAAACACACAAAAATCATCGATTCACATCGCTTCGTTATTCAACAATGCTCCATGGAATCATTGATTTTATACATGAAAAAGGTTGAACATAGCTACTTCACCTAAAAAACACATAAAAACTATTAATATGGACTCAAACTAAACAAAAACAGGTCTTTTCGTGTAACTCACTTTTTTTTACATATTTCTGATTCTTCTTTTAACTCAAGTAGGTGTCGCTACCGTACAACAACATCCCCGTATTCTAAAGATATTTTATTTTGGTGCAACAATTAGTTTTTCTCAAAAAAACAAAACAGTTTAGTTATACTTAACCAATTATATTACTATATAAACTCACTTATATTTTTCTCACTGAGAAGATGAATAATCCTTCATTATGTGAAATTAATTTATTAAAATTATTTAATAGCTTTATAAATGTTCTTATTTCTTAGACTTCAGTAATTCACTTCAACGAAACATGGAGTACACGCCAATTTTAGAGGGAAGCCCTCAGAACTTTATAGAAGTACTCATCACTTCAAGAAGTTCCATAGATATTAATGAAGTTCAGAGAAGTTTATTGGGAGAACTTCAAAATTATTTAAGAACCTTGCGTCAGTTTATTTCAACAATATATAGTTTAAAAAAAAATCTCAAAAGTTAAGAGCAATTTGTAGGGTTTATTGAGAATCCTCCAGCATGTGATCTTAACTCAAAGCCTTAAGAGAAGATCATAAGTTTTCAGAAAGTTTTAAAGAACTTCAGGTAAATTTTGAAAATTTTAAAGATTTTCCTCAAATTTCAGAGAAGTCCTAAAAACTAATGAATTTTACAGAATTTTAAAGAAGCTTAAAAGTTTCATAGAAGATCCTAGAACATCAGAGAAAGTTTAAGAATTTCAGACAACTTTATATATTGAGAGAATTTCTCCCAGCTTCTAAAAAAATTAAACAACTTTTAGAATCTGCCAGCATTTCGAAGAAGTCTAAACTTTGGAAATTTTTTATAATTTCAATAATGTTCAAAGCATATAAAAAAGTTCCCTGAATCTCAAAGAATTCCAAAGAACAAAATATTTCAAGACCAAACTAACTAAAGAGTGGGTTATAGTTTTTCATTCAATATCGCAGAACATCAAGGAAGTTTGAGGATCTTGGCAGAATATGTCAGAAGTTCAAAAAGCTCTTTGAGTTTCAGAGAAGTTTATTGATTTTAATGACGAAGGGGTAGGGGGTCTTGAATTATTAAAAAATGCTACGCTAGAAGAATGCTCCTGTAGAAAATGTGAGAATTCAGGAAAAGTTCATAGAACTTTAAATTATTTCCCAGAACTTCAGATAGTTTCCTTGCACATCAATTTTGTTTTTCGGATTGAAGTTCTAGTTCAATTAGTCCAAATACTTAATATAAGAACACCAAGCTTTTCCAAAGCTGCTAAAAATCAAAAGAAGCTCCCAGAATTGTAGAGAATACGAAAAATCTCACAAGAATATCCCAGCATTTTAGAGAAGTTCTCAAAACGTCATAGTACCTTCAAGTACTTCAAAGGATTTTCCAGCATATACCAGGTTCAAAATAATGCACAATATATCTAGCATAAAACAAAATTTACAACACCGGTGTTGTGGTTTTTTTTATAGTTCTAAATAAACCGAAACCAGGATTTAGGACTACGTTGAAGAAGCCCGTAGAAATGATGGAATCGAAAACAACCAAAAATACACTAACGAAAAACCAAAAGCAACATTTCGAACGCTAGGCAATTTCCGGGACACTTGATAATGTGGGACGTTTTGCAGGACATTTGGTAATGCGGGACAGGAATGCGAATCCGGGACGTCTTGTCACTTAAGCGTATTCCTTACGAGGCAAGAAAAAAGTGAGCCGAACACCTCAAGCCGATGCAATGCAAAAGCGCAGTTTTACGACCATTTCCGCCATTTGGAAAGCTACCGAAAAAGTAGTGAAGAAAGTAGGGTGAGAAATGCACAATAAAAAAAACGCACTAGGTGGGGTTATGTTTTATGAAATTTCTCTTGTCGTTGTTTTCACTGCGGAATTTTATTTTATTAACGAATAAAAGAAAGCGGACACCTCATTGTTCGGCGGTATGTCTGGGCGAATTTTTCGCCAGAAAGAGTAAGAATAACATTAATCTCACTCATCTTCATATGCTAGAACTCTTTACTCCTTGTGTGAATCATTCGTATTCATTCACTCCACAGAAAATCCCCATAAGGATCTGTCAACCTGTGCGCCATATTTCGTAGACCCGAATAGAAGTGAACTTCAGTCAACATTTAACCTGTCAAAGCGAAAAAGAATTGACCGATATTCCTAAACAGAGCTGAGTGCTATACATAGGTGCACTGAAATAGATTTTATGGTTTAAAAAACCTTTTTTTTTCAAGAAAAATATTTTGCGTTCTTTATTGCGCGCCTCCTTCGCTTTAAAAAAAGTGACTTTAGTGACTTTTTGACGAAAATAGAGACTTTGAAGTGACCACCTTAAAAAAAGTGACAAAGTCACTAAAAAGTGACCCGCTATCAGCCCTGCAGTTAGCCCATGCATTATCTGTCAAAAAACCCGAAAACGTATCTATTGTGCGCCGGCCTTTAGACAGCTCAACATCATTTGTTTGTAAACAAAGATGCATCCTATATCTACACCCCAAATTATTTCGGTGTACGGCCGGTGTAGCTACACCGCAAAAACGAAAACGACATTATTTTGGGAAAATAGTCTGGCATCCCTGCATCGCAGCGCAGTTAGCATAGTGAGAAGCTTGAGGAAAGGAACACATCGGTGAATCATTATTTTGTGAATTTTATAACTGTAAATCGCTTACAGAAAAAGAAACACGTAGGATTTAGTATCCAGTGGACACATTTTTCATCCAATAATTGATACTATCTACAATCAAAATGCAGGTAAGACATACCATGTGCAGTAGTACAATGATTTCCTTATAAGGAGAAAATGTCTATCAAGGCTAATATTGTTATTCCGCAATAACAGGACCCCAATGAGGATACTGAGTGGAATGATGCCCTGCGAGCAAAGGGTATTCTTCCGCCGAAGCCGAAGGAAAAGGAAATCACCGAGGATGACATTATTGGCATGATAGAGAATACTATCGAACAGAAACAGCACCAAGGCAAAGACCTATCCAAAATGGGATTGGATGAGCTAGACGAGTTGGAAGACTCCGAAGATGAAGCTGTGTTGCTCGACTATCGCAAGAAGAGGATAGCCGAAATGAAAGCTATGTCACAGAAGGCTAAATTTGGTTCCGTAATTGAGATTTCCGGTAAAGATTATGTGGACGAGGTGACAAAAGCTGGATCGGAGATTTATGTGGTTCTGCATTTATACAGCCGGGGTGTTCCTTTCTGTTCGTTGATCAACCAACACTTGAGTCAATTGGCCGTCAGATTCCCTGCAACTAAATTTATCAAAGCTATCGCTACTACTTGTATTCCCAACTATCCGGAGCGCAATTTGCCGACTATTTTTGTTTACTACGAGGGTCAAATGAAAAAGCAGCTTGTTGGGCCAGCAGAACTGGGCGGACTCAACCTGAGTTGCGAGGAACTGGAATTTATGCTAGGACAAGCGAAGGCAATCAACACCAACATTACTGAGGATCCTCGCAAAGCCCGGGCAGTCAAAGATAAAATGTTCGCCGATTTAGCCGACAGCAACGATTGGTAGCGGTAGACTTTATCTTTCGTTTCAATCGATATCCTTGCTAACTAGCGTAACATCTGTAGCCACCAAATCACGTCGAACATGCAATAAACATTTTACACTTTGCGTTATTTATTTGATAGATCGGTGTTTGGTATTGTTTTCTGGTCGCAATCCCCCTCTCCAAACCTTATTAGCTGCGCAACTGATAATTTGGGCAATAGCGATTTAAGAATAACACTAGCCGGCAAAATTTAAATTTTTTATGCACCCTTCAACCAAATGCTTTGAATTTTATAGATTTTGCCTCGCTGAATCCAAGTAACACGTACATTTTTTGAGAAAAACGGGATTAAATTAACAAAAGTACGTATTTTCATGGCAATTAGTTTTACCTGTTCTGCGAAGCTGGATTTCGGTTCCGCCCTTTGAAAGCTAGGCTTGGATTTTATAGAATGGACCTTGCTAAACCCATACGAGAGGGTCGATTTTTTTTTAGCTCGTACAAGTGATGAGGTTTAACCTTCCTAAAGCATTGGGAAAAAATACACAATTACCCTAATGCATTTAACTGGCATCACAAGTGTGCATCTTTCAAAATGTAAATATACAGACAAACCCTGGAACCTGGTTGCAGTTATACAATCATCAAGGTTATGCCAATGCCCAGGGATTTTTCAATGCTATGAAAGTTTGGCTTTTAATAGATTATTCATAAGTGAGCTAGAGTACAGTATTATCAAGCTGGGTTCGATTCCAGGTCCGGTCTAGAAAATCTTTCGGTTTGGACAAATTTTTCGCCTTTCCTAGGCATAGCGAATCATTGTGCTTGCAACACAATATAAAAATTCATACATTGGTGGGCATTAAAAGCTCTAAATTCATGGAACTACTTCAAATACACCGAAAAAAGTTTTCATTTAGCTTCTATTGGAAACGCACATGATTTTCATCCATAATCAAAATTTTGTGGTGGGATTTGCTGCTATGTGATCACAGGAAAGCTATGTGAAATTCACATGGATTTCATCCATTAGATATGTGATAAATTGTTGGAGTGTAACACTAAGTTGAGAGTAGGTAAGGGGCTGTTCATTGTAGACAGTTTTTTTTTGGATTCTTGACCACCCCCCCCCCCCTGCGTAGACAACTGTCCATACAAAAAAAAAATTAATTTGGTATGGGCCGTGTATAATTTCCAACCTCCCTAAACTGTCAACGTAGTTTATGGACAGCCCCTAAGAAGCGTAAAAAGCCAGAAAGAAGAAGTAAATGATCATCTGAATATCAATAATTTAGCAAGTATTTTGAACATTAATACTGGAAAGTATATGATAGAAGACACAAAGTTCTACTACATATACGGACATCCGGATAGATCAGTTTTTCCAAATTTCATTGACTTCATCCAGCTGCAGGCCACGAACGAAGCAGACAATATATTCCATCGATTAGACAGATTCTCGATTGCGTGATCGCATTGGCGTTTCCTTAACCTCAATCTACCTGTGCATCAACTTTCAAAACATAAACAATTATCAAAATATTGCTTGCAATGGATAAATATGGAGTAAACTAGAAGATTAATTGTAATTTCCAACCGATTCGAGTATGAATATGGATTAAATCTGGTTTTGAAAGCTGAGCTGGTTTTGAAAGCTAGGAGCAAACTGCAAACTAATGATGGCTGTGATATTTGTCCCGGAAGCGAAAGACAAGTTTTACTAGCATTTAAAATAAAAATGGATAATTATTCACATATACATGACAGAACATTGAAACACACTCTGTTTCCATAAGAATCGTTTCGTTCCGTGGGATCATGACACTTCTCAGTTGTTCCTGCAGAATCTTTTTACGATCTACGGGTAGCTAGGTACGATATTAAACCTCGTGAAAACCCCTCGCTGTGCAGTGCAGTGTGATTTGTAACGTGTGCAGCACAAGTCCGGTGTGGACACTTCGACTGACCTAGTAGAATCGTTCTCCTTAACAAAGTACCTACACCTTTTTACCTAACTTTTCATACCAAGTGATTTTTATTCATAGTTTACTATATATTTGTTTTTGCCTGCTGAACTTATGCATAAAATTATGAAATTTTACTTTAGGATACATATAAGCGAAAGGTGATAACGTATATTTTTGAGTTTTTTTTTTAACATATATCTAATTTTTAGATTCAAAAGTTTCCAGGATCAGAAGCGTATGATCGGTTGGTCAAAATGAGTGACCGTATTCGGAACGAGGGGTGAGAGGAATTGATGTCGTATAATTGAAGTTAATTTTTGTTTTGAGAAATCGCACAGTACAATGAGAGGATACTTGAACATATATTATGAAACGGGAGACCGGGGGATGAAAGAGGGGCTATCGGTAATCTTCATATGAAACTGGCAAAATTTAAAAGCTTACTTAACTTGTTTGAAACTTGTTGCAAGTCTGGATGATAGAGGTTTTCCTCACTGGCACTGTTTCTGGCGTTGGGATTGCCTCGCCGGTAGGGACTTTGTTGGCGAATACTTGTTTTACGCCACCGCCTTTCTGCTTGGCCATTTGGTAATCACCCGAATCGAAGTACTTTTGTCCCTTCTGGAGGCGTTTCTGCAAGAATGCCGAGTGACCACCAAGACCACGCCCGGAACCTAAACCGGCATTCGGGCCATATTTGGCCTTCAGTTTGGCTTCCTCCTGTTTTTCCAACTCGGAAACCGACTGTTGTTGCTCCTGCTGTGGATTGTTATTTTTATCGTTTGGTACAAGAAGTTTGTTATTAAACTTACCTCTTCCGATTGCTCGGCGGTGGTTTGTTCAGTAGTGGTTGCCACCGTGCTCTCCTCGGAACTCATGATATCAGCTCAAAATCGAAGTAAGCTTTTGAATGTACTCTGTAAAAACGTTAAACAAGGAGAATCTATTCAAGGCAGCGAAAAATCACATCAATAGATGGAAAGGTGGGCACATCTAAACAACAATGCTTCGATAACAGATAGGGGAAATGGCTCTAATGTTGGCCTATGGATCTAAGATTGGGCCGATAGCTAAACATCTGTTTTTTGGACGCTATTGAATATTTAGTCGATTGCTGAATTTATGTATGGGCCCAAATTAGGGGCATTTAGGCCGACATTACATCCATTTTCCCTACCTATCGATAAATTCGACAGTAAGCGATCGATTCTCTTCATCGATTTTCTCTTTAAATTGCTACAACTAAGCGAAACAATTTTCTGAAATGTGTTAAATGTAATGCTGTATCAGGTTGTATTGGCTATCAAAAGCAAAAGCAAACGCACCGAGAAATATTGCGAATAGGTTGCCTATAAATTAATGATTATCAATTCGCGATATATTCCACGTAAAGTTGACCGACAATACAAAACCATCCATGGACCTCCTCCTCCTTTAACTGTCTAAGGTAGGTGTATCAGTTATAACTATACGCTCCTATTATGGTGTGTTCCAATTATGGGCTATGAGAATTCCATAGGCTATAATTGATAAGAACACACCATAATAGGAACGTATAGCCATAACTGGAACATTCTGTCTTGCCAGCGTTTTAGTTATGGTTTAATCTTTCCTATTTGGTTCGAAATGCGCATTATTTCTTTATTTTCCGTTCAAATCTGAAGTGTACAGAATTCATATTTAGGCAATATGTACCGTTGTAGTCACAAATTAGATTGTAAATATGTCGTGTTTTTGTTAGATAAATAAATTTAAGGGTAAATATTACCTCCCTTATTAAGCTATACACGTATTGTTTTCGTTATGTACCAATGTGAAAAATGTAACGAAAATTATTGCGTTTTGAAGCTTTGAAGTAAAAAAATATCAATGCGCTAAATACATCAACCCTTTTGAAAACCATTAAAAAGTAAATATTGTGCAAACATTGAAGGCATTGAAGCATAGCAGAGGAACTCTTGAGCCGGAATGGAAGCTCTTCTCGTAGAAAAAGCATCACACAATGCGGGTTCCGTATTATCAAAACAACAGTTGTTACTAATAGTTTATCCGCAGGAAAACAGCGCGACAGTTTGTAGCGATAGCCTTGATGGACTTTGTAGGCAACCATTGCATTTATGCGGTGAAGGGCTTGTTTTGTTTCCGATATTAACCAAAAACTTTCATCCCGTGATACGGAAGGATTGGTTTGGAAGTTTACAACATTTCAACCAGACGTTATTGATTGCACCTACCTTGGCTTGATTATACGTTTAAACAAAACGGTCAATTGTTCAGAATCCCTAGATTATCACAAACTTGAACAAATTGGGACAAAAACTTCACTGCACAAAAATGTTTTCAGCTGCTTTTTTCGCAGATCAGCAAAATCGCTTTTTTTCAGCTTTGACTGGTTTTGACAGTTGAATACACACGGTAACCAGCGGAAACACATAAATGAGTAGAAAGATACACATTTTTTATATTCAAATGCAGCTGTCAAAAATAGATCTTAGAATGTGTAAAAAAATACACACAAAATTTTTAAGAATGTAGTACACGGTAATTATAGAATACTCCTTTTATGACTATGTTTTACACATTTTCGAGAATACGGTTTATACCTCGGTTTATACGTCAAAAAATGTTTAGATTTTAGTTACAAATGAAGAGTACTTTTTATGCATTTCCGAGTATGTCAACGACGAACAAAAATGTGTAATATACGCAAAAGAGAGTAAAAACAGTATACTCCTTTATTGGGTAGTCCCATTTTCCAAAAAAAGAGCGTACTTTATCCAGCTTTCCATGCTCGGTAATGGCGGCCTGTTTGTATGAATAAATGTATCCTTCACTGTGCTTTTTGACACTATCTGGATGTTCGAATTTCAACCCCTTCCCTTTGCCTCTCCCAGGAACAGTAGAAAATGGAACAACATACGCCCTCCAGTTAGTGTCAAAAAGCACAGTGAAGGATACATTTATTCATACAAACAGGCCGCCATTACCGAGCATGGAAAGCTGGATAGTCATAAGAGAGTTTGTTGTGATTACCGTGTACCAGTCAAAAAATGTGTATTTTTATACTCATAAATGGGTAAAAAGAACTTCTGCTTCGTTGATGGAAGCCATTTGCCTACACGGTAAGCGCAAAATACCCAATAATGACTACAAAGTAAGCATTTTCGAGGGAGACTGGGACTACCCATTAAATGAGTAAAAATGTTACCCATTTATGAGTATTTGTTATTCAAAAATGAATACTTACTACCATGGTGGGTATATAAATGGTGATACAGCTTTGTCAGTATATAGGTGAGGAGGTCGCGGGGGGGAAAAGTGCGGTTTTAGTGCAAATTGTAAACAAACTCGGTCGCTGTCCCATACAAAAATCCAATATGGCTGAATCATGAATTTGACACATTACACGCTAACTTGAAAGTACTCATTAATGAGTAAAAAAAGACCCATTTTGAAGAAAAGTGGCTTAACTCATTAATGATTAAACAATTTTACCCATTAATGAGTATCTGTTACCCATTAATGATTAACAATTACTCATTAATGGGTAACAGATACTCATTAATGGGTAAAAAATTTACTCATTTAATGAGTTAAGCCACTTTTCTTCAAAATGGTTCTTTTTCAAACATTAATGGGTACTTTCAAGTTAGCGTGTAGAACACCTACACGGTAACCGCAAAATACCCAATAATGACTACAAAGTAAGCATTTTCGAGGGAAACTGGGACTACCCATTAAATGAGTAAAATGTTACCCATTTATGAGTAATTACAACTACAAAAACAAGTAGTAAGTATTCATTTTTGAGTAACAAATACTCATAAATGGGAAAATGCTTACTTTGTAGTAATTATTGGGTATTTTGCGGTTACCGTGTATATGTAGTCACCTTGCTTACTACTTGTTTTTGTAGTTGTAATAACTCATAAATGGGTAAAATTTTACTCATTTAATGGGTAGTCCCAGTTTCCCTCGAAAATGCTTACACGGAAAGAATAAAATACTCAATTTAAAGTTTAAAAAGTAAAAGGGTCTGTGCCTAGGGGAGCTTGACGTATAGGACCGCATATGTGAAGAAAATTTAGTTCTTTTAATTGATCGATTATCTATTATCTTAACTCTTTCCGTTTTGATTGGTAGGCGTACCAAATTTGCAGTATTTTTTTAAAGAGATAGTTGATGAAGAGAATTGATCAAAATCACTTGCACCCCTGCTTCCAAGTTTGGTTACATTATTACAACTTACGCTTCAAAGCGTAGACGACACCGATGGCCGCTTACACTTGGCGTGTTCAGTATAGGTGACAGCATCACGGATCACATTTTCCAAGAACACCTTCAGCACACCTCGTGTTTTCTCGTAGATCAGACCGGAGACACGTTTGACACCACCACGGCGAGCCAGGCGACTGTTTTTGCTGCTTCTGCTGCCTGCTCACGACGGCATCCGAAGCGAAAATGAGTTGAGGCTAGACAGCAGCGTTGTTTTATATCTTTTCAGGTTAAAGCAGAATGATGTGCGACCAAGTGGTACTCAATTATGACGACCGCGTTTGGGAACAACTTTTATTTCATGAAAACAGAGAAAAAAATATCACTTTTTATTTGTACTTTGGATAATGCTTGACATTATCACTTTTTCAATAGTTTCTTGTTGAAAATCATCAGTTGGAAGCATTTCTGATCGATTGGTGATAAAATTATTGAAATTGATCCAGGGGCAGCTGAGTTATTAATGTTCAAAATCTTTCATAATTTTGTTTCATGTTCCATTTTCGGATTCACAAAGTGTACCCAGTATAGAAATTAAAGACGTCGTCCTACGTCAAAAAACTCAAGGTTGGATTCTATCATTTGAGGTCAACCGTTGAGTGAATCAGAAAAGTGACGTTGGTTATTATTTACTCATCTATTGAGTAATAATAGATGAACTTAAATTTAAGTTTATTTTCTATTTATCATTTTTCAGCTCAAAACTATTTTGCATTATCGATCGATAGGGAACTGGCTCTAATGTTGGCCTATGGATCTAAGATTGGGTTCATCGCTAAAAATCTGCTATTTATCGATTTTATCTAGATGAATGCGTCATTGAGACGGTACTAATGGATATCTTTGGTGGCTATTGAAAATTAAGTCGATTGCTGAATTTATGTATGGGTCCAATTACATCCATTTCCCATATAACACTTTCCGTATTTGTTTAAAAGTTACTCGTTTGTGAATTGTGTTGCATAAAGTAATTAACGAAGAATATCTTGAAATATTTATCATCAATTTCATTTAACTAAAACACGCTGCGATTCAAAGTAAAAAAGAACTAAATTTTCAGTTAAAAGTACTCAACTGTCAAGTTTTCACCGTTGGGTACTTTTAATTTATTTTTGGATGAAAATCATAGCAACCTGCGCTGCGTCGATGCTGTCATTTTTTGTGTTCAATCGCATCCGCACGTGCTCCATTAGTCATCGTATTAATCTTCGTAAGTTGTGGGGTAAAAAGTGGCAAGAAAAGTTTGGACACAGGTAAATCGTAAGTGTTTTTAGCTCCATTGTTTACAGAAGTCTGAATTTGTATCTTCTACTGCAGGAGCATCCCAAAAAGACGACATGGTGGAACTGTGGACGAGTGGTTTCGAGTGGACGAGTGGTCGCGGAAATGTTTATTAGTTGCTATATTATGGGGCTTATTACGGATGTCACTTCACGGTGGAAACTAGTCACTTGTCGTCACGCCCGCATAAACGCGAACCATAAATTGACCTTACCTAAAATGGTTAAAAATTGTTTATAATCCCTGCTAAACTTTAACTGAAATGGTTATGGAACTTTACATGAACGTTTAATGATAAAGTTTCAACCTTATGTATTATGGTTTTTTGGAACTGGACCTTACAAATAATGGGTTGTTAAGAACCATTACCGTTCCAAATTCTTGTTTTCTCCATACATTTTCGGAAAGAGAACTATATTAGAACCTTTTAACTTATGGTTTGAGAACTTTAATGGTAATGGTTATGGTAGTCAGTAAGGTCCACGAATGGTTTTGTAACATCGATTAACTTTATGTGGAATATATCGCGAATTGGTTGCCTGTAATTTACTGATTACCAATTCTCGATATATTCCACGTAAAGTTGAGCGATAATACAAAACCATTAATGGACCTTACTGACTACCATAACCATTACCATTAATGTTCTCAAATCATAAGTAAAAACGTACTTATGTAGTTCTCTTTCTGAAAATGTATGGAGAAAACAAGAATTTGGAATGGTAATGGTTCTTAACAACCCATTATTTGTAAGGTCCAGTTCCAAAAAACCATAATACATAAGGTTAAAACTTTATCATTAAACGTTCATGTAAAGTTCCATAACCATTTCAGTTAAAGTTTAGCAGGGATTATAAACAATTTTTAACCATTTTAGGTAATGTCAATTTATGGTTCGCGTTTATGCGGGCGGTGAAGTGATTACCATTTGATTTGTACGGCAATCACGGCTCTTATTCTGAGTATCAATTCTTCATCACCGTGTAATGACACCCGTAATAAGGCCCTATATCTTCAAATCAATTCAGTTTAACTTGTGCTTATTTTTGATGAAAGCCAGTCCAATGAAGCAAATAAAAAACAAAAAATAAAACGGGTATTTATACTCATTTACAGAAAAAAATAAGATCATTAAAAACTACCCATTTTATGACGCATTATTCGAATACTCATTAATGAGAAAAGTCGCTTTTACTCATTTCATGAGTTAAGCCACTTTTCTTCAAAATGAGTAAAATTTTACTCATTAATGGGTACTTTAGAGTTAGCGTGCATAAAAGGACTAAAATTTTACACATATATGAGTAATTGCTAGTACAAAAATAAATAAAATTTATGCATTTATGCAGTGGCGTCGCGTCCACATGTGCAACCTGTGCACGGACACAGGTGTAAATAATTAAATGCGTTTAGATTTTTATAGTTTTATGGTCACATTACAGTTGTACTTCTTTACTCCAGACCACAAGTGACCACGAATACACTATTTTATAGTGTGACTCAATTAAATCTTCGAACTTGCTTTGCTTCAAAAAGGATTAAATTCTTCGGATGGTCTGCTTAATCCCTATATGCATTGATTTCTAAGCATGTCGATATCACTGCCATGACAAAACTCGTTAAATAGTGCACCTAAAAGCGATCTTTTTTGGGTGGTGGGTGGCAAGTTTGTGAATGGTCAAATACCTGATGTAAGCAAAGCAGACCTTCTATCACCTCTTGAAACATACCATAATTTTTCCACAATACATGGCGGTTTGCACCACTAGTTGTAATTGGAACTTTTAACAGTCACGCGTCAAACGGGAGCAACACGGAAACAGC